TATTTATTTCAATTATTTCTAAATATGATTTTCTTTTAATAAAATTGTTTGAAGTGATACAAAATGAGCCAGTGTTAAAAAAAAGAAAAATAAAAAAGAATATAAATAAAAGAGAAAAGGTAAAAAGAATTTTTAAAGCTATTTTTCAAGTTGTTTTAAAAAAAATAATAAGACTTATTAATATAGAAATATAAAAATTTTTATAAATATCTTTTTTGTATATAATAAAAAGATCAATAAAAAGAATTGTAATATCATATTTTAATTATATTATTATAATTATATTATTTTATATAATTTTTTTGAAAAAAAATTTTTTATAAATAAATAAATACTATATATTGTATATAAAAATTTAAATTTTTTTTAAATATAAAATAGTTACTTATAAAATTTTTAATATTTTTTTTTCAAAATTATATCATTTCTATACTTTCATCAAAAGTTTATTATTCATAATTAATAAGATTTCATTAAAATTTTAAGTTAAATTTATAAATTTTATAAGTTTTATGCAATACATAAAAATTCGAATTGTAAATTTCGCGAAGGCTACTTACAGTATACTATATATAATTGTATAGTAGAAATGGTAAATTTATTAATTGTAAAAAGAAACATTATTTTATTCAAAAAAAAATTTTTTTTTTTTGGTTTTATACATACTGTATATTTTATTGTAAAAAATTATAGTGCATCGCTTTTGGTGCTTACTGCATATACTGTATATTATTTAAGTTTCCATGGTAAATCAATATTTTATTAAATGATCCAATCACGAGTCCTTTTTTAAAAAAAGATTTTTTTAAAAGCAAATTTAAGAAAAACGTTATTGCAAGGACTCGAATCTTCAATAATGTACCGAGTCAATTATGTCATCAAATATTACATTTAAAATTTTCAATTACCATTCAAACCATTAAAGACGTTAACATCTAAAATTACTAAACTCTTTTAAATCAAAAGATTCCATTCCATTTTTAATGGCAATATGTCACCGTTTTGCTTTTTGAAGGAAAAACCTTATCACAGTTGAATCACGTGAACAATACGTCCCTGATAAAACGCCTTACTTTTTACATAAAGGTAACATCCGTTCCAGATTAATATACTATCAGATGTATAGCTTGCGAGTAATAATAATTTTTTTCGCGAGATGAGATCGTCTAAAACGTTATAAAACTAGAATGTTGAAGGAGAAAAGTTCGACATTACAGATCTAATCTAGTTTATTTACATCCACCTCCGAAATTCTCAATACTGTGTACGTTTGTTTGTGAAGGACATGCTTCCTATGCCGGTTTCTTCGTTTTTTCTTAATGATCTTAATCAAAGGACCCTTTGGCTGTTCTATGACCGTGGCTTTAATGTTGTAAAATGATTCGGAAACTAGAGGCTGTCCTTTGACGGTATAGTCCTTTGATCCCAATTCAAGCACACGATTCAATTTCAATTCATCCCCAACATTAACATCCCGTAACCGATGGGCGATCACAAGATCATTTTTGGTGACCAAAAATTTTTGCGACCTTATTTCTATTACTGCATAATAGCGCAATTGCCCTCTTAGGCGATTTACAGCTTCTTTTGTTTCCTCAGAAAAAAGCTTCGGTAATGTTGGTACAATCGGAGGTAATGATCTACTGAAGGGCCTAGCCTTTATTATCGTTTCCGATTCAGGGGTTGACTTTTGGGTTGTCCTGTGCAAAAACCTTGAACTTCGAATTGCTTTCCAGGTGCCGAAAGAGTCTAAATGTTAGACTTAAATATAATAATGGAACAGGTTCGCTGTACATTATCAATCTCGTTGCCTGTTTACCTTGAAGTTCATTATTTTGTGGGATTCGCGAGATAACTAAATTCAAGGGCACATGTGAAGACTTTGTTGCCGTTCTACGGAAAGCGCTTCGAATCATGTTTAAATATTGAACGATATCATTAAACGGAATTTGTAGATAATCTTGATAGATCAGTGTATACGTAATCATGGTGACATTTAGGTGTAAAATATAAATTGTACGACGTTGATTCAATTTCCAAAAGATAAAAACCCTATATAAAGCATGGCAAGAAATAGAGAGAAAAAAAAAAAGTCCAAATCAAAAAAGACTAAAGAAAATAGGGAGTCGAAATATAATAAGAAATCAAAAAAGATGACGTCTGGAAATTATGGTGGTTAAGATCATTTCTTTATTTCTAGTAAATGTTCGTTGTAACGCGGTTTTTCAATCCCACATTAACCTTTATTCTCTGACAAAAAGATTATGAAAATGGCGATGATGAAGCATGCCCCCACGTAAAAACTATCAAACCAAAAAAGTTCAAAGATCAAAAGTCTATTTTGATTACGGAAATATATTGCGAGGCACGTCGTATCACTTAATTTATTCCTTTTGTTATCAATGACCTTTATTTTATAGCATAACAGCTATGCACACATTTGTAGAAATGTGTAGATTCAGTTAAAGACAAAGGGTCAAGTTCGACGACTGAAACTGCCAATGCTTCAGGTACTTCGACAGCCGATTCTTCGAATACCATTGTTTCCGAAAATGGAGATCCTTCGAACAATGATAACGGAACCTCCGTTCCGTTGGGTAATGAAACAACATCAACCGACCAAAGCTATAGCATGAGTGAAGCAAGCACATCTCGCGACATTGAAATTTGGATTTGCGTTATCTGTGCAAAACGGCATTGTGGTCGACAGTACAAAGGGCACGCGATTGATCATTATAATTTTGATAAGGGTCACGCAATATCGATGTCCGTTAATTCATTAATATTCTGGTATGTAGTCAATTTAATATTGGGAATATTTGTTGAGCACATGTAAACCATAATTATGCGATCATAATAGGTGTTATGTGTGTGATAAGGAAGTGGACCCCAAAACTCGTGAAAATCAAAGACTATCTGAAATACAAGGTTACTTTCGAAGTGCCTACAAAGATAAAGAGTTAGAAAAAGGTCTAGATTATTTTTACACATTTTCGAGAATTTGTGTCACATTTACGCAATTGGGTTTTCTTACTTTCTTACTTTCTTTTTTTTTTTTAATCTAGACTCGACCGATGAACCTAAAACCAAAAAAAGTTCGAAATTGTCTCGGAATCAAACAATTCAGACCAACCAGACTCGTCCTAGGATTACAACGCCCGGTTTATCGAATCTCGGTAACACGTGCTTTTTTAATTCAGTCATGCAGGTGAGAAAGTGGAGTGTTCATCGCGTGATTAGCACTTTAACTTTACTGACACCATCCAATATTGATCACAAAGGTTGTTGTTGCCACCTCCCCACTTCGTGATATCCTTCAGCCTGGTCGTCCCGGCAGCACTCCACCACTAATAGACGCAGAGCGATGTCTTGCAGCTAGAAGTGATAATGTCGGTCCGTTGACTAGCGCATTCAAGGATCTCTTGTTTCAGATGTGGGAGGGTGAAAGAGAGGTGGTGTCCCCCAGAGATTTGTTCGATCAAATTACCAGAAAGTGGTCACAATTTCGTGGGTGGAGACAACAGGATAGTCAGGAACTCATGCGATTTTTATTTGATGGTATCAAGAGTGAAGAGCTTGAGGTATGAACATCATACAAATAGTTTTATTAGAATGTGCAAACATTTTATATAAGAATTATTCATTTTTGAATTACCGTAATTACTTCATTGCAGTGAACTACTCGTGATGTTAATATATTCTTAAAAGAGTTAGATGTAAATTAGTACACTTTGTCATTATATTAACTCGTAGATTCTTGAATTATTAATAATTATAAATAATATCAAGGAGATACTAATTTCAACGTTTTATTGCAGCTGATAAAAAGGGAAACAAAAAATATTCATGATGAAAGTATGAATAATAGGTTTTTATTTATTTACTTATTTGTTTGTTTATCTATGGTATATTTCAATCTTTTTCTTTTTTTTTTTTTTTTAACAAAAAAAAAAAGATTCAGAATCTGGTCAAGAGAATAGCGATGATGGCGCTGATCCGGAAGAAAAACTACCGCCAAGGTTCATATCTTTCATAGATGCGTGCTTCGGTGGTAAATTGGTCAGCGTAATTGTCTGCGCTTACTGTAAAGATGTCAGTGCCCGTGTCCTTCTTCTATTATCATACATTACACTATTTTGCTTTATCATACTTATTTAAATATGTTTACCATAGTGTTCCTATTCATACGAAGATTTTTTGGACGTTTCCTTGCCGATAAAATCCCCCGATAATAATAATGAGGACATGCGTAGGGTAAGGCTTATATTTCAGTTGTTAGTTGAGCTTCCCATGAATCGATGGTGATATCGTTATTCAATACTAGAAGATCAGAAACGGTGTCTCCGATTTCGGCTACAATTTCAGTCAAAGTTCTGGCGTTGATTTTGAGAATTCTGGCCAAAACGGTGATGGTAATGAATCGAACAACTCCAGTGATGATGATGGAGGACACGAGGAAGGGGATGATGAGGATGAGTTGGATATGATGTTGGAAGGAATGCCGCTTGTTTCAAAAGAGAAAAGAAAAAGAATAAAATTGCTATTAAAAGAGGTCCCTTTCGGTTCTGGTCGCTCCGCTAAGAATTCATCCAGAGGACGTATATCTCTTGTTGACTGCCTAAGTAGTTTCATGCGGGTAGAGACCTTAGATGGAGACAATCGTTTTGCATGTGGAAATTGCTGGAAGAATTTACATCCCGAGAAATCCCGTGTTCACAAGGAAAATAAAGCGAATGAGGATGAGATTGATGACGCGAACTCATCCGAAGAGGTGTCATCAAAGGAGGATACGGATCCGATGCCAGGAGAATCACCGGAGACTGCAATAACTGAGAAAAAACTCGACATTTCTAAAACAGAAGAATCCTCGGAGACTAAATCAACGCAACGTTTCGAAGAAACGTCAAGAAATCTCAAACCACAAGACTCATCGGATCCTACGCTGGACAATGTTTCCAAGGAAACGCCCAAGGATCTTAAACCAGAAGAATCCATGGGCTGTACACCGATTGAGGGAATGCTCAACAACTCGACGAAAACAGATGGGTCATCCGAGGTTATACCAATGCGAATTGAGGATACACTCGAAAATTCCAAAACACAAGAATCATCGGATCCTACACCGGAGCATGTTTCCAAGGGAACTCTCGACAAATCAGAAGAGCCATCGAATTCTGCACCGGTCTCGGAAACGCTCAACAACTCGACAAAAATAGATGAGTCATCCGAGGCTACACCAATGCAAATTGAGGATGCACTCGAAAATTATAAACCGCAAGAATCATCGAATCCTACACCGGAGCATGTTTCCAAGGAAACGCCCAAGAATCTTAAACCAGAAGAATTTACGGGCTGTACACCGATCAAGGAAATGCTCAATAGCTCAACGAAAATCGATGAATCATCGGATCCTACCCTGGATAATGTTTCCAAGGAAACGCCCGAGAATCTTAAACCAGAAGAATCCACGAGATGTACACCGATTAAGGAAATGCCCAACAGCTCAACGAAAATAAATGAGTCATCCGAGGCTACACCAATGCAAATTGAGGATGCACCTGAAAATTCCAAATCACAAGGATCATCGGATCCTACCCTGGATAATGTTTCCAAGGAAACGCCCAAGAATCTTAAACCAGAAGAATTCACGGGCTGTACACCGATTAGCGAAATGCTCAGCAGCTCAACGAAAATAGATGAGCCATCCGAGGCTACACCAATGCAAATTGAGGATACATCCGAAAATTTAAAACCACAAGAATCATCGAATCCTAAACCGGGGCATGTTTCCAAGGAAACCCTCGACAAATCGGAAGAATCATTAAATTCTGCACCGGTCGCGGAAACGCCAAAAAGGTATAAAATAGAAAGGTCACCGGAGACTGCCTCAATGCACTTTTCCGAAGAAATTATCAACAATCCTAAATCAGAAGAACCATCGGATACTCCACTAACACATGTTTCCAACGATGCATTCAAAGTACCGTCAAAACCTGCAACAACGGATAATTCGGAAGAAAATATTGTATCAGAGGTAAAGTCTGGGGAAAATTCTCAGAATGAGGACCATTCTTCTAGCACTAGTGAAGATCCTACCCAGCCCGATGCCGAGATCGATTCATCTGCTGAATCTTCGTCATTGGAACATGATCCTAAGTCAGGAGGCAATGCATCACAACCGTTCATCCTTCGCAAGGCATATAAACGCTACTTATTTGGTTCATTGCCGCCTGTCTTGGTATTTCATCTGAAACGGTTCCAGCAGGTAGGCAGCAGATGGGGAGGTGTCATGAGCATGAGAAAGATAGATGATTTTGTTGAATTTCATGAAGAATTGGATGTTGATGGTTTTGTTGTGCCACCAGAAGTTGCTGATGATGATGACGATGATGACAGCGATGAGCCTGTTCCTGAGCCATCAGGTGAAAAGACTCGCAACACCAAATATCGATTATACGGTGTGGTGGTGCATCTAGGAAGTCTATATAATGGACATTATATTGCGTATGTGCTTACTAAAAACGTTCTTGGAATGGGAGAGCAATTTGGAGTACCAAAATTGAATTCCGACGATCTCGATGCGGTTGAAAAAATTCATTTAAAAGCGGAGATGGCAGGTGAAAATAGACAGTGGATTTATTGTAGCGACAGTAGCGTACGGCCAGCTAGTGTTGACGATGTTTTAAATAGTGGAGCGTATCTATTATTTTACGAACAAGTGAGATAGAGGCTATCGCGCTCCTGCTACAATTTATATATTTATATATCATCATCACCTGTTAATTATATTCTAAAAGTTAATGTTTTTTATTGTAAAAAAAAAAAGTGAATCTGTATTTTCTACAAATGAAACCTTCAATTTTTATGTACTGTTATCGATAATTAGCATTTGAAATTATACGTATTTATGATAATTTGTAGATAAAGAAATCTACAACCAAAAAATAGTAACACCAATAAATACAGTATACAGTTAATACCACGTCGCCTGAACAGTAAACCTTTAGAATTTCCGTTTTATTACTACTCTTTTATAAAGGTACAACACTAGCGTTGAATGACATGTGCACAAAGAGATTATTTGAACCTTAAATCTCGTTAATAATGAGAATTTTGGTAAAATGTATCGCAGACATTTTATGATTATGATTGTTCTCTACTGGATGTTGAGTCGTTCCCACCATTTAAGATGCAGATGTTTGTACTTTTGAAATCATCCTTGTTTCACGCTCCGTTATGTTGCCTTTCGCGTGGAGAAAAAGCATCCATATAGAATAAACCGTGTTAAAGTAGTCAATTTCAACTGATGAAGTATGAATTGATACTTTACAACCCGTATTTACGTGACCTATAAAATTACGAAAATAGTCTGAGACTTTGGTTTAAACGCATTCATCCAAACACTAAAATTCTTTCGTAGAATATTTACTGAACGAAGCCTTGGAAGAAAGTCAAGTTCGTCCATCGAACAAACATTTATTTCTCTTTGAGCGACAGGCAAACCAGGTGGCCCATCCAAGATAGTATAATAGGTTCACTTTCAGTCTACAACTTAACCCCCGAAAAGCAAAGTTAAGGTGTAGATGAAAAAAAAAATAAAATTTCGCGCTCTCTAGTTGTACATACGTACTATACTACCTGGATGGACCACCTGGTTCAACTGGCGTGTGGTTAAAGTAAATTTTTTTTTGCGAATGATCTTTTGTCAAATGAGATTATCTACATATAGTGGCTTAATATAAATTTTGGAATAATCTCGCTGATCCCTTGACAACACGTGAAAAAGATGTTCACGGTAAGTTTTTACCTCTATACTGATAAAGTCTTACCGCTTTCCTTAAACCAACTTGGGGAAATACCCTCAAGAGTCATCCTATACCCCCTTTTTCTTTGTCTACAACCCTTTATGACAAAAACTTGTAATATCCTTAGCCAAGTTAGATTGGTTTGATTATTAATCATTATAAAAAGATATTTAAAAATTGATACAGTAAATTTTACTTTTATAATGATATTGTAATCAAATTTATATTTGATCAGTGTGTTCAAGTGAAATTATTTTTAAATTAAAAACAGATCCATCAAAAATCTTTTTAAACAATGTTACATGATATTTCATAAAAAATATAGTTCACTCAAAATCTAAGTTTATTAATAAATCAAGAAAAACAAACCAATTTCTTTAATTTTAAAGTTATGAGAAAATATTCAATTTTTCAAAAGTCAAGTGAAATTATTTTTACAAATTTATTTTACTTTTGAGTAGATTATTATTGCTTATGTATTTGCAAAAATAAATCATTTAGATCACTTGAGTTTTTTTTATTTTCAAAATCTCCTGAACCTTCTTTTAGATCTTCAAAATTATCTAATTTGCAATAAATTATATTTTGTATTTTATTTAATAAAAATGATCTATATTAATTATTGTAAATATAGTATTCATAAAAATATTAAAGAAACAATTATAAATAAATAAATAAATAAAAATAAAAATAAAAAATAAATCATAGTGTGACTAAAAATAACTATCCAAAAGTATTAAAAATTATTCTCATTATATCTTTTTTTCTTTAAAAAATAAAGTTCTATAAGTTAAATCTTTCATATATAAGAAATAAAATTATTTTGATAGATTTTATTTATTTATTTTTTTTTTAATAATCATACTGACTAGACTTTTATTAATCAGATATTACGGAATGTACAGTTTTGTTTTACAAAAACAATTCTTATAACTACTTAATTTATACTATTCTATTTTACCTGATTAAATGCTACCCAATTTTACCTGTTAAGGGTACCATATTTGTCAGTTGCCCTGCTATGCCCAGGCTGCCTAGTGTTCCAAGGATCCACCAAATAACTTCTTATTATTTTTTTTTGTCAGGAAGCTAGTTTTTGAGATGTGTTTACTTCATAAGGTCTGTCTTTGATAGATGTATTTGAATCATGAGATGTACTTGCCGTGCTTAGTCCTTAAAGACTGATTGTTTATTGATGTTCTTAGTCTTTATGCAATTTCAGGTAGATCTTCTGGTGACCATTGATGAACCATATTGATGACCTGAGTCTTCCAGTGACCATTTTTAATCACTCTTCAAATATGGCCTATAGGGATTTTCCTTGGTCATTACATGAAGCCTTAGATCTCTTCCAAACATATTCATTCCTGTAGTTTCTATCATGCCTACTGTACTTCAGCAAGTCCCTCGGTACCTATGGGGCCATATCCTCTGGTAGCCATTGGTAATAGCAACACATGTGTCTCTTAGTATATAATCGGCCCTTTACATATTTTCAACTGATAGTAATGATCGAAGTCTCCCAGCCTCTCATGAGGATAGTTTTTTGAGAAGAGGTGAATTTCAATGTGAAACCGATAGAGTCCTAAGTCGATCATTGTCTTTTCTGGCTTTTTTTAGAGTCTTCATATATTCCAGGTGGCATGACATTGTGGGATCTTCTTTTCCTGATGCTAAAACTGACCAGAATCTGTATGACCTGATTTGTTACACCATAGTCTGACAGTAAGTTTCTATAGATTCTCTTGTGTGCAAGTATGCATGTGGCGTTAGGCATGCATCTTGTACAATATAACCTATTTTACAGATACTGTTCTAAAGTGGAATTGAACCAATAACTTGCGAATGATGACCTGGGAGCACATCCACTGTGCTATTGATCCACAAGTTCATAGATTTTATTAATTATTTCAAAAAAATGGTTTATAGATAAAAACTTTATTTAATAAATTTTAATTTGAATTGTTTTAAAAATATTTTTAGATATATATATATTTTTTTTTTAATGCTAGCTTAACTTTGTTTTATTTATATTTATGCAGTATTATTATATAGAAGTTTTCTAAGATATATTATCAATCTACTATCAAACAAAACTCAATAAAGATAATTTTTCCTAGGAGGAACTTATCTTATGGCTTGTTGCCACCCCTTTAGTAGGAACTAATTTATCAAGGCTGGACTAGTGCTAAAATAAATTTCAAGGATGTAAAAGTTGTCTATTGGATCTGTTATCCATTGTATTATGAATTCGTTATCATAATTTTTATTAATAATATATCAGTACATTCATATAAGGCAACTGCCTTGGATCAGCCACTTACATTAATCTTTTTGTATAGGATGAGTATATATATTAACAAGTAAGAATCGCAATTTCTATTTGAAACTAAATGATCCATAGATTTGATCTGAACAGATCAGATAAGATTTTAAATTTTTTAATTTATTTGTATTTGAATCAGATACAGATTTCAAGTTTTAAAATCTAATCAAGTTTAAATAAAATTCAGCAGTTTAACTATATTTAAATAAATCTATTTAAGGTAATTAAAAAAAAAAAAACTTGAATTTTTTTTATATTCCTCTAACACCTTTACTTTACATGTTTCTTAAAATTTTGTGATATTTTTTATGATATTTTTCTTCTTGCAACATTATTGGTATTATTTACATCAAAAAATAAAATAGAATATAATAATTCTTTTAATAATTTCAATGAAATAAATGATGAAAGTTTCAGTTTAGATAGTTATAAATTGAGTGATATTAGTAATATTGCTACAAGTAGTTTTACAGAGGCATTATCAAGTAATAAAATAAATTATAAAAGTAAAGTGTGGAATCATTTTACAAAGAATTTTGATTTCAATGAAAGTAAAAAAGTTTCTTGCAATTATTATAGCACCAAATATACCTGTAATGGAGGCAACATCTCTAATCTTTTCAAACACCTAGAAAAAAACCACCTAATAAAAATAAATTCATATTCTGATAAATCTTTAATTGAAAATTTTTTTAATATTACAATGATCAATATACAATTGCTTTCAAAAGTTTGAGTCCACTTACTATATTTTTATTATAAATTTCAACTTTAACAATTTTTTAAATCCTTAATTATATAATCAAAAATTATAAAATTCATATATATTATATCTTAATACTAGTTTTATTTATTA